TAAAGATTCAATCATGGTCGTAGTGAATCAATTTTTGAAGATGATGCATTTTCTACCTTGTCGCCAAGCACTGGATACATCTGATTTTGCCGAATGCTGGATGCATCACTTATCGTCGACTTGTATTTCAAGGTAATTGTGACGTGCACGGATGCCCATGACCATCATTTCAGACAAGGATGTCAAGTTCTCGAGTCACATCTGGAGGACTCTATGGGGAAAACTAGACACTAAGCTTCAATTCAGTCCTGCAGTTCATCCCCAGACAGACGATCATATAGAGGTAGTGAACAGGAGCCTTGGAAATTTTTTGAGATGTTTTGTTGTGAAAATATTAAGCAGTGAGATCCAATTCTACCTCAGGCCTAGTTTGTCGGATGCATCACATGTCACCGAACTGTATTTCAAGGTGATTGTGAGGCTACACGGGGTACCTGTGACCACATTTCAGTAGGGATGTCAAGTTCCCGAGTCACATCTGGAGGACTCTGTGAGGAAAGCTAGACACTAAGCTTCAATTCAGTTTCACATCTCATCCACAGACAGGTGATCAGACAGAGATAGTGAACATGAGCCTTGGAAATCTGTTGAGATGCTTTGTTGTGAAGAATATTAAACAGTGAGATATGATTCTAGCTCATGCCTAGTTTGCTTACAATAGGTTCGTGAGTCAGATTATGGGTTGAATCACATTTAAGATTGTGTATGGTCGTTATCCACTCACTCCACTTGAATTCATACCACTCCTGCTGACATGAAAGATTAGCGAGGATGCAAAGGAACATGTGCACAATATTCAGAAGCTCCACGAGGAGGTTAGAAAAGAGATCATTAAGTAGAATTGCAAGTACCAGACTCAAGCGAACAAGACAAGGGAAAAGTGAGCTTTAAAGGAGATCAAGTGTGGATTTGATTGAAGAGAAAGAGATTCCCAGTAGGAGCATTCAAAAATTCAGGCCGAGAGCAGACAAACCTTTTAACATATTTCAGAAGCTGAATGACAACGCCTATAAAATTGACCTGCTAGGGGATTGCAGTGTTTTCACTACGTTCAGTATCGCAGACCTGACACTATACTAGGAAGACCCAGAAGTTTTGACGAATAAAGTCGAAGCTTCCCCAACCCTGAAAGACTAACACGAGGCTTATGGCTGAACCGGTCAGTTCAACAAGGGGGTTTTAGTCAAGCAAGGAGGTTGAATCGGCCGACTAGCTTTTTAGCGGAACTAACGCCCATTCCTCCTATTTACTTATTTTAAATATGTTGTTTGCTGAATTTGGGTTTAGTTTTCTTTTCTGATTTCAGATTTCTACCTCCAGTCGTTTTTTCTGGCTAGGTTTGTATTCGATGACAGGTGATGCTTCTACTATATCCCGCTCCAAGGTGGTGATCATCTTTATAACTCTGTCCACATCTCCCTCATCCTTGGCTTCCAGCTGTCTGCCACCTCCCCTTCTCCCTGATTCCAACTGACATCATCCAGTCCCTCCCCTGATTCCAACCGCTGTCCCTCTCCTGATTCCAGCCGCTGTCCCTCACCTCCTTTCCTTGATTCCTAGCCGCTAGCCACCACCCCCTTCTTGTCTATTTCTAGCTGTCAGCCACTTGACCCTTCCCTATCTCCAACCATCTGCCACCATTTATTCCCTGCTGAGCCGCCAACCACCAAGCCTCGTCACGGCCATCGACAGATATCCCTACTTTGCCCCAGCCGGATATTGGTGTTTTGTTGTGTTTTCATTTCCATTTGAGTGTTGATTGTAACTCTAGTTGCTTTTGCTTAGTAATATTTATTTCCGTTATTATGGTATAGGTTAACTCTGGTATCACTAGATGTATTTATTTCATGTATTCCTAATAATCATGACCTCCACAAGTATGAACCTACTAAATAATGCTATATTCCGAATCCTTGTGCTTCTGTTAGCCACCACCTATTAATATTATATGTGGAGATGTTATCTTTCGTTGAACAGTTGAATGGCACAACTTATTTTTTCTCCTCATGAAACTGTATAGAGGCGAAGGCCAGTGTGGTGGTTGGAGGGGTGATTGAAGGTTGTTAGCTAGCTTGGTCGAGATAAAAAAGGACCATTGAGAGCATGATGCTATGGTTGGAACTTAAAGTCTTCATTGGAGAAATTGTTGTCTTACATAAAAGTTGGTAACTAGTAACTTTGTTTAACGTAACACCGACATGCTTTTTCTATGTCAAGTGAGCATACCTGGTGGAGATGTTGTGCCTAGATTTGGAGAGATGACAAGAAAGCAGGAGAGTAGAATGTCAGTGAGACAAAAACAAAAAGTATTTAAGAGTAAATATAATGTCTTTTTTTTTAATCTTTAAACTATATAATATTTATTTTTTTGTGGCCGTAGGCAAAGTGGATCTCATTGAATTGCATAAACTTTTTTTTTTTTCCCCCAATGCCCTTTTCTAACGAGCTTTGCATGCTTGTATCTATTTTTATCTTTAAACCAAATTGCTTGTTATGATGGGTTTTAAGGTAAAATTTGAAAAGATACAACGAGAATGAATATGTTAGAAGAATGAGGGGAACATCACCTAATGAATAATATTTAATGCATACTATGGTGGGCTAATGATGCAAGATAAAATTAATAAATATTTAGACTAATGTTTATATGGCTAGTATTTGTGTGATAGTACTTAAATTAGAGTTACAAACTCTTGTAGCACTTATATGAATGCATGGAGACAAATGATTCGTAAAGCTGATTTCAAATAATTGGGGTTAGATTAAGGATGTTGATGGAGATGCTTAGCAGTATATGCAAATTCCTTTGAAGTTGCTGAAGACCATTGCCATATTGTTCATGATGCCATTATTTTGACATATATGCTTAGTGAACTTGCCCGGATTTTGTGCTGCCAAATTATGCTCTTAATTGATAGTCAGTTTGTCTGTTACAACAATTTTCAGGAGGCTTTTTTGGGGCTAAGCCGTGTTTCTGAAAGAGAAATTTTGCAAGCTCGTTGCTTCTGTTATATGATTCATCACTGTTGGCGTGTTCGTCATGCCAAAATCCATGATTGTCCTCACGGTACACCCGCTATCATTGCTTTGACCATTTTGGAGGCACTTACCATAACGTCATTTTATCATTTTTGGGAGCAGCGGGATGGTAGCCAATCGTCCGGATTGGTTTCCTCTACATTTTTTTGGCTTAACACCCTAGCCCACCCCCCGACCCCTGGATGGCTTTAGGTGAACTTCATTGAGGCCCTTTCATCGTCTAGAGTTGCTGGTACGGGTTGCATTATACGTGATGAAAGAGGTATGGGCTTTCTTGCCACGGGAAAGCAATTTGTGCGTTGGAATTGTACTGAAGTTGAGCTCCAAGCAATTAAATCCTTCCATGCTATTCGCCAACCATGGATGCTTGAGTGCAAGGGCATCATTATTGAAGGGGATTATTTATATATGTATATATATATATATATATATATA